TACCATAGTGGGGCAGAGCTGCAGATCCGATTGTCTAAGAATAGAAATTAGAGCATGTCTTTTCATTAGTTTTATAATATCACAAAATCATAAACAGAGCAGGGCTTGGTTTAAATATAAGGTATTTATATTTGGGGTTGTGTTTTTTTTAAGCTGCATGTTTTACCCTTTTTCCTCACATGAAAACAATTGAATTGTGAAATGGAGAAATGGGATTTCTGTGATAAATGGAGTGAAAAGATGGTGGTCTGGGGAGAAAGAACAACAAAAAACAAAGTAAGGCCGAAAGAGAAAAGCAAGCCCTGGTTTTCAGTTCTTGCTGATCTAGATATATTTACCAACAAGAATAATTTTGATGGCACTCAGCTTCATTGCTCCAGATTGGTTTTTCAATGACATTGGAATAACCATTTCAGCCTTGTAATGTCAGACACAGAAAGGGGATCGAGCTAAATGAAGGTAATAAGTCTATGTATTTTAACTAATCAAGATATAATTACTGTGACACAGTGGACACTGAAACAAAGCATATGTCTTTCTCAGTCATAATTGGTTTGTGGTATTTATGCGCCCATGTATTTTGGGTTAGCTTTTAAAAATTATTATGGTTTGTTACCCAGTCCGCCAGATGTTTAGATTGGATTTGGCATTTTCATCCACCTAACCCTAGTCCTTCACAAGGACCTGGGATAGGGAGATAGTGTTGTCTACTGGTTTATTATTTGTATTCTTATTATGGTTGGTTACCCAGTCAGCCAGTTTAACCTGAATCTGGCATTTTTATCCACCGAGTCATTATTATTATTGTTGTTGTTATTATGTTATTTATGGGAAGAGTCAAGATTTGATTAAGAAGCTTATTTTGTAGGAGCAGTGAAACTTCAGTGCAATCTCTCTAAATAAATAATTACGAGGCAAGAAGCCCTGCCTGTAATAAATGTCAAGTCCAAAATGGCCGAGATAACATATATAAGGTGAGATCAGCTCAAAGGAAAAACACAGCTTATGCTGCCATGAGCATTTCACACAGAACACCTTAAAATCCATGTTTCTTGCATATAAACCATGACCTCATGCTACATGCTTATACGGTATTCTGATTATCTATTGATTTCCTGTTTGAAAGAGATGCATACATAATGTTTTCCTTTATAGTTTGGGGGGGGGTTCCTGATTTTTTTTCTACATGGCTACATGTGACCGGCTGACTTATGAAATAACGTGTGTAAAACATGAGTGGATGTGGACAGAGTGAAATCACATGGATATGTAGTCCTGGATCTGGTTACCACACTAATTTGTCTCATCAGCCTATAAAAGGAACACAACACAGTGGGTACATAACTATACACACTGATCTCTATAAATAGACAAGAGTGAAGTCTCATTCAGTGTGTGTATCTGTGCCTCATCAGTGTGTGCATGGTGTGTGTTTAGGGGATGAGTGAAGGATTTCTAACCCATCTATCTATCAAGGGATAATAACACATGTTTTCTACACAAGAGTGCAACCTAATCCTGCATATGAACTGTAAACCAAGGCATTTGACCTAAGGCAATTATTAAAACATATTTAAATCCAACCGGGCAAAAACCGCATTTAGGAATAATCCATTGTCTACATCCAGATCACAGCCTAGGTGAGAATTTGTGGATCTTTTTCCCCGTCTGCTCTTGTGTGAATAATCTCAGCTGATTGTCCAGTCATTAACATCCCACAAAATTCATCCCTCCCACTCCCTTCCGTGCTCCACAAACAGATAAGTAAACACACGTGTCTGGATTTCCATTCAAGATCACATCACAAAATCAGAGAGAAAAAAAAAGAAGGAAAAACTCAAAGGTAGCTCTTGTTTCCTGGCAGACATTATTCCGTGGAGTGTGCATTTTTGAAGCTTTCCTCTAAACCAGTTCATCAATTCGTTAATTATTGCTGAGAGGGAATCATAATGAGGCATATTTTTCTCCTTTAGCATCAAGACAGAGGTAAAATCTGGGGGGAGGGGTGAAGGGAGAAAAGGGAAAAATAGCTTATGAGTCAGAGATGTTATTACAGCTTTCTTTGGGCACTTTAGCTCCAGGGGGTGGGCCAACTGCTATTCAAGAACGATTCCAGGACTTGTGCATATTTTCACTGCTGTGTAGCAGTTTTAATAAAACATCTGTTCTTGCTTCTGCTGATGAGATTATACAATTGTTTGCAGACTAATTTTGTGTAGAAAGAGACCTATACTTTATGCTATATAGGTTTGCAGGAAAGGTGGGAAGGAAGGGCTGCCACCTTTGATTAAACCTGCATTCTAGATGTCTACACACAGAGACCAGACACCCATGTAAAATTTCAGGCCAGTAAGTTATAACTTGCACTAAAATACTTGGCTGACAAATATGTGAGTTTTTGGAATCTTGAACTTTGTGCGTGTGGTGTGTGCGTGTGTGCTGTATACTGTGTACATGTGCATATTTCAGCATTTTCTAAACCATCCAGCCAAATGTTAAGGGAAGATTTTGTGACAACCAAAATAACACAACCAAACTCTGAGGTTTTCTCTTCTGTTTAGAAAAGTAATAAACCCTTTATCCTTTCCCAGGTCTTTCTAAAACAGCTCTTTAGGACTTATATAGCCCACTATACACTCCCTCCCTTCCTCCAACCATAAACCTTTTTACATCACATAATCTCAGCTCTTTCAACCAAGATTAGGAGTATTAAAACACTTTTAAAAAGAAGCCTTTTTTTTTTAGTAGCGCTTGCTTACCAAGGGAAAAAAGTAAGGGAGGATGGAGAGTTATGGAGGCTTTGTGACTTTTAATGGGTTCCTGATTTATACTAGAGCATTTTCTTTTAAAGGACCACCATTCTAAATATAAATATAAATTCACTCATTGAAGAGTCTTCACAGGAGAACTCTTAAAGCGGAAGTGGGAAGGGAGTTGCTTCTGTCAATTTCAGGGGGTTGTGTGCCTGGAACACTGATTTAGTAGTTTGCAAGCATTTCAAATAATCTGAATTGAAATTAATTTCACTAAATTCCTTCAGATTATTGGTTTATCCATCCTCATCCAGGCGTGCCCATATAAAATGCTTTGCAATGCATAGCTCCTTAGTAGGTGGGTGGATGGATCTAGGAGAAGAGTTAACTTGGCTCTTCTTGCCCCAGTTTTTTTTTTTTTTTTAATAATACATCCTAGTCTATAATGTAAAGTTTTGGTAGCCACTATTACAAGATGGGAAAAGTGGAAAAAAATTGTATTGGACATCTGTCATTCTCCTGCCCATTAAACCATCCTCTTCCTATTTTTTTTTTAAAGCCCTTCATGGCTTTATACAAGAAATCTACTTTTTTAAAAAAAAAAAAACCAAATTGCTGGCCCTCCAGAAATGCCTAATGCTGGACAAGAATGAATACTTCAGCCTTCTTCTTCTTCTTCTTCTTTTTGGTCTGTTGTGGTCCGGTTTATGGCTTTACTACTGCCTCTGATTACTTTGCTTTGTTGAACAGAGGAAAAAGATCATAAAGGCTTTTGGCATCCTTTGGCATCCGGGTTCCTGTTGGAGCCCAGAGGTGATCACAGGAGGAGGGATTTGCCTGCTTCTTTCTCAGCCCACCGAGGAGAGTGACTCCATTCCAAAAAGGGATGTTCAAAGTACTGGCTTACGGGGGAGGGGGGGAAGCAAATGTAAAGATATTCATTCGGAGGTGGGTCTGGTTTCCTTTTATGGACCCTTCTAGTATTATTATTCTCCCTTGAATGCAGCCAAACAAAAACCACGGGAAAATCAGGCCCAGGTTTCCTAGCCCTAATTGAATTTTTAAAGAGCAAACCAATAGCAGGATGAAGGAACCTTGCTTCCGTTGACACATCAGCAGGTATATTTTTACATTTAAGGGGCAATTTATGGCCCCCAGATTGAAATTAAAATGAGATTAGCTGTCTTCATTTCAATTAGTATGTCGGGGAGTAGAATACAGTCCGCTCTCTAATCTAACTAAATATTTCAAGGGGGAAGTTTTCTAATCAGCTACAGATATCTGAAGCCATAAATTCTGTCCCCTCCCCCCCCTTTTATTTTTGCAAATGTAAACACGAGGTGCTCCTTCTAACCCACACCGCTCCCTAGAGAAAGGGAAGGTAATGAAAGGCTGGGGGTGCTCCAAACATAAACGGGAACCTAACAATCACAAATTCTTCCTCTTCCATTTTTTTCCCTTAAAGCAAAGCAAATACTGGGTTTGAATTACATTAAATGAAAAGATTAATAAAGCCCCGCTCTGAATTTGGGGGCCAGAAGGAATGAAATAAGGAGCTTGCAAAGTTCTTCGCATTCCAAAATCCAGGAATATTCTCCAGGAAGATACGGTTTCTGTCCAACTGTCACTTCTTGCCCTGCCTTGTCTTTTCAAGATTGTTTTTTTTTTCCTTGAAAACACTAGTGTTTAATTCCACCTTTATTGACTGACAGAAAATTAGTGGAGGGAAAGAGAATTTATGGTATAATATTTTATGCACACTTCAGATTAATGGCTATAATTTCTGTGCTGTTTGGTTGCTAGAGGTATTAAGCAAGGCATTTATTCAAAAGAATAAATATCCTGATTTCTGTTCTCCGTGGTTTCTTTCCTTTCCTTAATATTTTTAAGGCAATGCTTTTTCTCCACTATAATTTTCTTTTCTTTTTTCTCCCTTTCCTTTTTTTGCCCCTCCTTTAGTCCTCTCCCACCTTCCCCCCATCATTCTTACTCTTTCTCCCCCCCTTCTTCTAAACCATCTTTAAATTTAGAATTTCGAGACTTACTTTCAATGCATACTTAGTTTCAACTGGGGAATCAACACAAGCAAAAGCCATTTTTCCGTGTCTTGACATCCAGTTTCCTATTGGCTGACTGCGGGTCAGCTGACTTTGTCATTTTGTCTGTCCTGGAGTGGAGCCGTCCCTATAACAATCTAGTTCAGACTACAAACTGGAGACAGAAATAAATATTAAAGAAATCATACAGGCCAGGTAACAGGGGGGAAGATATGAATTCCTATTTCACAAACCCGTCGCTCTCTTGTCACCTCACCAGTGGTCAAGAAGTCCTGCCCAGCGTGCCGCTCAATTCCACTGCTTATGACCCTGTAAGGCATTTTTCTACGTATGGAGCCGCGGTTGCACAAAACAGGATCTATTCATCTCCTTTTTATTCACCGCAAGATAATGTTGTGTTTAGCTCCAGTCGGGGACCATATGATTACGGATCGAATGCCTTTTATCAAGAAAAAGACATGCTCTCTAGCTGCAGGCAAAATTCTATGGGACACAATACACAAACTTCTATTGCACAGGATTTTGCAAGTGACCAAAACAGGAGCACGTCCCAGGAACAGAAAGCTAGCATTCAAATATACCCGTGGATGCAGCGCATGAACTCCCACAGTGGTAAGTTTTACAGCTCGCAGAGATAAATTAAATAAACTGAACCATCTTTATGGCCGTCTCCCCAGCAGAACAGGCTCAGCTACTTTTTATAGCCCCATAAAAACAATCATATAGCTTCCTCACAGTTGCCGCTACAGGCCTTTTATTTGTTAAGTTGTTGCAAGCAAATATGGCTTGTTATGCTCTTTCTAATTAAAAGACTTCGGGAGTGTAAAATATCCATAATAAAGTGCAATCAGCTGATTCTATCCAACACCCCCCCCCCATCCCGTAGAGGAGATTTGGGGGGGGAATTAGGTGTAGAAAATCAGAGCTGGGGCATTTTTAAAAATCGAAGTTTCCCAGATAGGTGAGAAACAGCTTTTTTTTTTTTTGAACGGGGGGGGGGGAGATGTAAAATGTCTTGCCCAATAATAGGTTGAGAGATGGGCTTTTGTGAAGTAGCTTGACTTCAGAAAGCAGTGTCTATTCCTAGTCATTAAAGCAGCATTGGAGTAGGATCTAATTAGATTCTTTTCTTCTCTGAAGGCTGCAGAAATAATTAAAACAACACATTCCGAATCTTTGCAAATAAGAAAGGAAGGGAGCATGCTTTCCATTAGGCGCTCCCCTCTTTTTGCTCTGTCTCCCTCCATGTGCGCTGCGAGATTTTAATGAACAGCCAGCCTAAAGGAGCAGAATTAAAAGTGGGATGGGTGGGCGTACGAGGAAGACGGGGGGGGTTGGAGGGGGGGGTGATTTGATGGCTTCCTTTCGGGGTTTTGTTTTTTAAAATATATATGACTTGCCTTTTACCTATTTTCTTATGGACTTATAGACCGGTTGGCCGAAGCCGTAGCTAATCGTTTTTAGTTTGTTTGGTTTCCGAATCCCTAGGAGTCGGCTACGGAGCAGACCGGAGGCGGGGGCGTCAGATCTACTCGCGCTACCAGACGCTGGAGCTGGAGAAGGAGTTCCATTTTAACCGGTACTTGACGCGGAGGCGGCGGATTGAGATCGCCAACGCGCTGTGCCTCACCGAACGCCAGATCAAGATCTGGTTCCAAAACCGGAGGATGAAGTGGAAAAAAGAGAGCAATCTGACTTCCACGCTACTGGGGGGAGGTGGCGCTGGAGCAGCCGCCGAGAGCTTGGGCGCGAAGGAAGAGAAAAGAGAAGAAGAGACGGAGGAGGAGGAAAAACCGAAGGAATGAACCAGGACGGCTCTCGGCCAACAAAATTCCCTTCTCCTCCCCTCCAGTCTCACCCACGAGCACAGCCCAGAGAAGGTCCCCTTCCTTTCCATCCACCACCCGGCTCTCTCCTGCCTTCCTTTCCCTTCTCATTACTGCAGGCACAAATGCTACATTGGGTTAAATTAAACGGGGGGGGGGCAAGGGGGGAGAGATAGAAAACCCCCTCCTCCACTTTCAGTTTCCAGCGCTCAAGTCCCAGACCCTTGACTCCCAGATCTCCTTTACTTTCCCCTTTAGAGGCTCCTGCCCCCCCCCCTTGTTCCTGGCCTCCTTGCCCAGTGACCCGGCTTTTCCTAAAGTGCACACACACACACCCAGAGACATACACACAACCCACACACACCCATACACAAGTGAGATAAACTCCCCTTGGGATTCCTTCTTTGCCCTCTCTAGTCAGAATCTGCCTGCCAAAGGAGAAGGGTTCTCTTTGGGGGGCTTCCTTCCAGTAGAGCTGGGTTCGACCAGGCAGGTCCAAAAAAAAAAAACTCTGGGCAGTTTCATTTTCCTAATAGAAAGAAAGAAGGAAAGAAAGAAGGAAAGAAAGAAAGGTGGTGATGTGGATCGTGGAAAAGAAGCTGGGTTTTAAAAAAGAAAGAAAACGTAACACAGTTCACCCACTCACCTAGCCCAATGAAAAGGACTTCCGTCCATATATCCTTCTCCAAGCTACATCCGCCTAAAATATAGCGCTTTCTTTCCAGAGTAAACTCATTGTATTGAAGACACTACCTGAAGTCATGATGCATACGACAAACTGTGATGGTTCCTGTGTGAATATTTTTAGCTGTATTTGTGGTCTCTGTATTTATATTTATGTTTAGCACTGTAATGGTCAAACGGTAAAGTGAATGGCATTCTATAGCAAGTAAGAGAAAAGCAAACCTTGTGTTAAGCTTCCTAGCATCATGTATAAAAAAAAAACACACAAAAAAAGTCATGTCCAAAGGACTATGGTTGAGTATTTAATAAAAACTGGATATTATTTTTAAAAAGGACTGGAATATATATTTTTTTCGTTGTTCCATGGGGGACAATTTCGAGCTGAAATGTTTTGCAAATGGACTCACCGCGTTCTTTCTTTTCCCTTAAGCGCCTTCAAATCCCGTTTAATTCCCGCAGCAAGGAAACTGATAGGCGGAAATAATTTATTTCCTATTAAGTAAGCTAAGGATGACTTTAACACCTCTCTCTCTCTCTCTCTTTCTCTCTCTCTCTCCCCCCTCTTGCATAACCATAGATGTATTCTGGCACAGACATAGGTAGGCATAAGAAACTGGATTCCAGATCTCCAAATTCCTAGGCCCACAATTTCAACTTTTTTTTTTTAAAATAGTGTGTTTTTCAAGGCCGGTATAAGCACAAAAGCACCGATTTCCTTATCACAGAGAAGGGGCAATGAACAAAGGAATCTCGCCACATCCTTTTCTAAATTTATTTCGAGGTTAAGAACAGGTGGGCAGGAATTATTGGCGATGGTGGTGGGGGGAGTGAGAGCGGAAGAAAAGTTCAGAAAGTGCAATGGACAAGTCTATTGTAGGCCATACAGCCATCGATCTTACTTTGTGGCGGAGGGCTCCAGAGTGGCTTGGGTTTAGGTCAGAGGCATCCTTGTCCCAAATACAAATGTCTGGATGTAAAGTTCTGGCCTCTGGATATCTGGATAGCCTTAGCTACACTTTCACGTGTTCTATTCAACCACCCGGTCCCAGTTAAAAGGGAAAAAAAAAAAACAGAACTACTCCTGACAACACCTCACCATTCGTTGATTTCGCGCCCCCCCCCCGCCCCGTTGTCTGAACCCAAGGGAGACTGGAGTCATCCCTTTCTCAAAACCATAACAAGGAGCCTCAAAAACTCAATTTGCTCCGTTTTTTAAAAGCCAGCCTCGCACATGTCCTGTGGAGGCAAGGAATAGACTCAACAACATTTCAGAAACCTGAGCCAAAACTTTCCTGGGGTTCTTTACGGATTGCTCCTGAATGCGAACAACAGACAAACAAACAATTAAATAGGCGAACTTATTTAAAGAGTGAAAGATGACCCCTTAAGGATGATAAAAGATTTTTTAAAAAGAAAGATAACATTGGTGCTTCCTTCCCCCCCCTCCCCCCAAAATGAAGAATGGTGGGAAGAACACAGAAACCACTTCAGGAGGAGGGCAAATGTGTTCTTTGTAACTCCACCCCAAACAAACCAAATAAATTTAAGGCGACCGACCGTCTAGTAAAGGAGAAAGGGTACCCCAACGTCTACCCAGGAAAAGTGGACTTTATTTTTCCAAGAGAACTCCTCAGAGCCATCCGGGTGGGTGAGTTAGCAAGCGTGTCAGTTTAGTGAGGAGGGAAAGGATGACACACAACACACAATTCTCACACGCCAGTTTCCCTGCAAACATAGGAAGAACGGAAAAACAAAGGGAACCCATCCATTCCTTCACCCCAAGCCGGAGGATTTATGGCTGTGGCGAGGCCACGTTTCTTGCCCCCTCAAAGGAAGCTTTTCGCAGACTCGCACAAAGTCCTCTCCACTCGGAAAGATACTCTGGCTGAAATCATCAGAGGAAGAATTCAAAAAAAGGGGAGGCGAATTTAGCTCAATAGGTTTACAGTTCCCAGGGCTGTTGTTTTTTGATGCCTGGGCAGAAGAGCAGATTCGTTGGACTTTGGAAAGACATCCACATCCGTGTCCATGAGGCGGTAGCTGGATGCCCAGACCTATATATATGTACGATATTTGGAAAAAATGCATGTAGAAGATGCTGAGGTGTTTTTTTTGGTTTGTTTGTTTGTTTGTTTTTTGCCTGCCACATGTGTAGGGATTTTTGGATAGCCAAGAATCCTAGAGAACGGGAACCCTGTGTCCTGTCCGCTCAAGTGCCAGGCACAGAGGCAAAGAGTCTGGCAGGAAAGGAACTCCATGCTTCACACCGGGATAATTCTGTTCGAGGGCACACACCCGGGCAACTTAGGCCAGAGAGCCTGGTTGGCCCACCCAAGGAAACAGGCTTACGAATAGCAAGGTCGTATTTTATGTCAACCCACTCCTCAGTCTGAATCAAAGGCAAACTTTCCCCAGGTCTTGCCCGGGTGGAAAACTCACGCTTGCCTTCGATCCACCTCGAAGACTTCAGAGGATTTGTGCCTGTTGTTTCACACTCCAAAAGCCTCGAACGTTCCAACAGGGGTAGAATTCGAATCAGACGCCATACCCCGAACTTAGCACCAGGTGACGCTCTAGACTCATTGTCTCAGTGTTTTGAGTGTGGGGCCTTTTTTTTTTTTTCCATGGCTTCGTTATGCCAACATATCACATACGTTGCACGGGCTTCCATCAATAACCTCCTGGGGTCATCAAGCCAAATTTATGACTGGCCAACACTGTCACGTGACTCTTTAAACATCCCATATTTGGGCAGCGCACATAGAATAAAGAAAAGAAGAATCCCCACCTATAAATTCTGCACTTTGGAGAACAAAAAACCCTGAACTTCAAAAGGGCCACAAATCAAGTCTAATCAAAGGGGTGTAAGAGAGAGCGCGTGAGAGCGAGGGAGAGAGAGAGAGAGAGAGAGAGAGAAGCTGGGTGGGGGGGGGAATATAATTCCTGACATGAGTTCCTACGTAGCCAATTCCTTCTATAAGCAAAATCAAAATGTTCCTGCCTATTCCATGCAAAGTTATGGGAATTATGGATCATTGCCTGAGGTTCAGCCCTCCAGGTGCTGCTACACTGGGCTGGATCTGAGCATTACATTCCCTCCATCTGGGGCTTCCAACTCTCTGAACGGTGTGGACGTGTCTTCAACCCCCAGATCTAACCCCGACCGGCCTTCCTGTACTGTCATGGGATCTTCAGGGCACACTTTAGGCAGAGACGACCAGGCTTCTCTAAACCCAGGAATTTACAGTCAGAAGGCTGGTGGCACCAACAACCCCACGCCGTTGGAAGATAGATCTAAAACCAGTGGGGAAATCAAGAGTGAACCGGTGCAAGCAGCCCAGCCCAGCGGCCAGCCTGTTCAGCAGTCGCCGCAGCAGCCACCACAAATCTATCCGTGGATGACCAAACTACACATGAGCCACGGTAAACTTTCGCTTCTCGATTTTGTTTCAGAGGGTTTGCCTTGGTTTTATAGGCCATACGGGGCAAATAACAAGGGGGAAAAAAACCGGGGTCGTAAATTTTACGACTAAGGCATCAATTGCTCGTAAAACTGTCCACTAAAAGGCTTAGAGGCTATATACGCCCAAATTTATGACGGCATAATTGGATCATAGAAACAAAACGGGTATAAAGGCAATATTCCAGCGGGGGGGGGGGGGGCGAAAAGGAAGGAAGAAGGAAGAAAGATTATAAGGGGAAGAAATAACTTGAATTCGAGCGCACTTTTTTCTGGGGAAGAAAATGAGCTTATGGTTATTTAGAGTGTTCCCCCCCCCATTCCACACACCCCCAAGAACCTTTTGCACATCCCATAAGCCACGACTTTCTCTTCTCTCGAAGGAAAGACATCGCTGAATTTAATTCCCACACTTTAGCTACACTTTCTCGTGTTTTAAATGGCGAGCACCCTCCTGCCTGACTCGTTTGAGGTGGAATTCAAAGCTTGGATAAAATAGGAACAATCGGCACCCTCATTTACCAGTAAATATTAAAAAAAAAATGTTCCGGGGAGAAGTCAACCAAGCCTCCTCCTCTCCCCCCCCCTTTCCTCTCGCTTTCTTTAGCACATTTGGTTTCTCCCTTCCTTGGCATTGCTGCCCCGCTTAACGTGACTCTTTCCCCCCTCGTCCTTATCCGGTGTCTGTTCTTTTCCAGAAGCAGATGGCAAACGTTCTAGGACCAGCTACACTCGCTATCAAACTCTGGAGCTAGAAAAAGAATTCCACTTTAACCGCTATCTCACCCGTCGGAGGCGCATAGAGATCGCCAACAACTTGTGTTTGAATGAGAGGCAGATCAAAATCTGGTTTCAAAATCGGAGGATGAAATGGAAGAAAGACTCCAAACTGAAAAGCAAGGAGTCTGTCTAGGTAGAAGGTCGGGGTGGGGCGGGGCGGGGAAGTCAGCTCGTCTGGATGGTGAGAGCCCTTGTTGTTGTTGTACCTTGAGAAAACTTTTCTTTGGGAAGTGGGAAGGAAGGAAGGGGGGAGGGAGGGCAGCAGCCTGGGACAGACTACATACCCTTGCAAATCTGGCAGACAAAGGCGCCCCTCTGATTAGTATGCAAACAGGCCGAGTCTTTAGCTTCCAACAGAATTCCAGGGTTTAAGCCTTCTGGAGTTGCCACCGGCCCCTTTGCTCTCTAACCTGGGTCCCGCTGATCTGGGAAGTTCGCCCTCGTCTCTAGGGACGACTTTTCCCTAACGCTAACATAGCCAGGACAACCCTTTAGGAAAATAAAAGGGAAGCTCAAGTTATGCAAAGAGGGGTGAGTGCGACCGTCGCTACTTTTTCTTTTTTTTCTTTTTCCAATTTCCCCGAAAAAAGTCCTACGGCCTCGGCTTCCTACCCGTGCAAGACTTGCAAAGTTCAGGTCTGTTGAAATGAATGCCTACTAATCCTTTGCGCCCAAGTCAGGATTGCGCCTGAAGCGACCACGCGATCCATCCGAGAGCACTTCTTCTTCCGCGGCTCCAATCCTACCGCTGGCCCGAGGGGCGCCGCCTCCCCGAGTAAAGTTGCCTCCTTAGGATCGGGCAAGCGCGAGCTAGTCTGGTCTCGAGACAATATTGAACGGTCTCGCGTGCGTGGAATGAAAATTGCCCCGTGGAGTCGTTTCCTAGATGCTCTTAACCCGGAAAAACAAACAAGCTGGGAAATCTGTTTGCTACCAGGATGTGTTGTTCCGTGCTGGGGATATTTTCTGTAATTCTCCTATTCCCTCCCCTATTTACTTATTTTTGTATTATTGGCCTATGAAAGAAAGTGAAACGGACTGAGAGCAACACGGTTTCCGCGCCTCTCCTGAGAGATACTTGTGCAAAATAGTAAAGCCCTGTGGAGGAATGGAATGGGGAGACTAGTGGAAAAGAGTGTGAATTCACTTGGCTTAAATATTCCCCTGTATTTATTTGTTGTGTAATTAATGTAGTATGTACATATATTATATATACAATCCTTATACAAATTACACTTTGTTTACATATAGCCCATTGTAGTCTCTTCCCCTCCTTCTCCCTATTGTTGTAATACCTATAGTGTATTTATTGATTGTAATATCATATGTGAAAGCCCATGGAATGAATGAATTGAATGAATGAATATATGAATATTTATATATGCGGCAGTTCACCAAAATAAACTGTTAAGAATACTTCAACAACTAAGGCCAAGTTTGGAGTGGGTGGAGATGAAGGAAATCATGACACATTTTTTCTTGAGTACCGCCCAGCACCGAGTCTAACATTTTCCTAATTCCTTAATTTGATTTTTTAAAAAAAGTATTTTTGTTGTGGCAACAAAGTACACCAAATCTGAGGTAGGGTGCATTCATTTGAGCATACCAAATAATTTTCTGTGGAAGGGTTAAGCTTCAGTTGCTTTCATTGACATCTAGGATAATCCAGAACACTCCAGTTTCAATTAATTGGGTCCCTAAATTTTAGATTTAAAGGCCTGCTCAGATCAGCAGAACTTTAGACCTCTGTCCTAAGAGCAAAAAATGGAAAGTCAGCTCTGTACGGTTTGCAATAGTAATCAGTTTAAGACCCAATTTATCTTGGTTCAAAATGGGCTCTTATCTACTTCTAGTCCCTACAACTTTTATTATTATTATTATTATTATTGCAGCAGAATAATTTGGGGTAAGATAAATTAAATTGCAGACAATCTATCCACCCTCTTTCCTCTGTGAAATGTTTGCTCTTTTCTTGGATAGCCTGGCAACTTTTAACTTTCCCAATTTACACAGCATAGCTTTGGTGTCTTCAAAACTTGTCTGGATCCTTTCTCAGAGATTTCTTTCCATTGTACCTTATAAGAACACTCCAAACAAGACCACATTTCTAAAGAATTTGACCATCTACTTTTTCCCCCTCTCCAGCCCAGCTGGAAGGAAAGTTCCCTCTTTTCCCCTGTCCCATAATTAACTTCCCATGGACTTATAGTGAAACCTGTGCCGAAAGGAACTGGGCTATTGATGACAATATCCGAACTTTCTTGGGTGCCTGTGATTATTAAAATGGGTTGAAATAAGAATGGCAGATTTTTCACCTTACTCTCAAGTAACATGGGCTAAAAGGCAAAGAACTAATGGGACATTTCTGTGTGCTAAGTTTCAGATAAAAGGTATCTGGAATATTGAAAACTTGCATACATATATGCGTTCACATGCATCTATATTATTGGTTTGTTTATTTGGTTTGCCTATTGGTTGTATTACTGAACCCATTAGGTGGAAGTTTGATTTGACCAGGACAGATACAGGCCTCTGGAAATGTGGGGGGCAGGACCCTGTGCATAGATGTTTCATGTGTGTCTATGTAGATCCATATATGTGTTTTATTGAATTGCATGTATCAATGTGAGTCTGGGGAATGCAATTGTCAAATTCTTTCTAGAACACTTACAAGTCCATTCAAACTAGCACTCATGCCTGCCGTGTCTTTGGGGCTATTTACAGTAGAAATGCATGCTTGGGGATTCGTGGGAATGATCTCAATAGCACAGTAAACCTTTGTACTGTTTCCTCTACACCATCTTGAACAATGGAGCAATTTCCTGAACCCTGAAGCAAAAGTTACTTTTTCAGGATGGTGAGAACTTTTGAAGATACTCCTAAAACTCAAGAGCTTTCTGTCTCTGACTTCAAAATGTCTGTTCTTTTCCTTTAAGTTCATTGGTATTTTTAGCATTGTCTTTATTATGGACAATATAAAATAACAAGGTGACTAAGGCAATCCATGGCAATTGTTTTATTTGCAGTGTTCCGTCTACCTGAAAAATCTTTTTTCCCTTAATCCTTCCTGGCTTTTACACTATTGGTAGCTTGATTTTATTCGGTTTTCTGCCACTAACAGTCAAATGTTGCAAACATAGATCAAAGTTTTTTGGGTTCCACCCCCCAATTTCTTTCCTTTGTGATGCTAGATGGCTTTGTAAAGGATATAAGATTTTCAAACAGGAGCAGTTTTTTTAAAAAAAAAAAATACATGCCTACAAAGGTGGGAGGGGTAGGAGAAAGTGTAGATGTTTGAAAAGCATAAACTCTACTATGTAAATCTAAGGGGTGTTTATTAAGGCAATTGGAGAACTGTAGACATGTTTGGATAACTGTTCTCTAACCTAAAGCCAAGATTTGCTGTTTTACATCTGTCTCATTATTCTGGTTTGTCTTGA